GATGTAACTTATGTCACAGTTGTCAGATAATAACAGGCAGGCAGTGTTTTTGGAGAATACATTATTCAAAGTTGGCCCTACCCCTTTTTCATATTGGTGGTAGGATTTAGCATTTCTAAACTTCCTCAACATCTTGGTTCTTGTAGGAATTATGAAGAATTCTAAATGAAATATTAATTTTTAAAAATCTAATTCTTATTGTAAAGTAATAAGATTGTGTATTCTGCTAAGAATATCACAGCATTTGTTAAATGGGTTTGAACCGAAATGGGGGAGGAGGTTGTCCGTCTGTGTGTTACAAAGTGTTGCATCAAAGTTGAAAGCTTAGGCTCTGAAATTAGAACACTCCTGGGTATGGGTCCCAGCTCTACTACTTACTAGCTTTGTGACCTTGAGCAATTTATTTAACCTTCAGTGTCTGCTTCTGGAAAATGGAGACATGTACCTTAGAGGGTCCTTTGAAGGATTAATTGGTATATGCTTCTACGGTGCTTAGAGTAGTACTCACACAGAGTTAGCACTCAGCAAACGTTGGCAATTATTATGTTTTCGTAAATACTGCAAGGTGGGGTGTCACAATATGAAAGCTGAGGAGTTTCTGACAGGCACAAATCCAAGTGGGAGAGCTTAAGCCTGACGCCTTTGTTCATTGCCAGTGTATCTGGGTTCTGCATGAAGGTGCTGCCTCCACTGATGAGGACTGGAGCTTGCAGCCCACCCTAACCAGGAGGCAGACATTCCTGTAGTTCTGTTCCTTGGCTGATTGTGTTAAGAGAAGTTCCATTCCACACAGTCTGTGATTTGTCATCTATTTTATCTCAAGCCACCTTTGCAGCTTCTTTTAACTTTGGTTTGTCTGGGGCACCTTAGCTGAGCAGATGAATACAGAGGCTCTATAGTCCAGACAGTTCTGAGTTTGAATAAGTGAGTGGTTTTTTTCACTTATTTTGCAGCTTTGGGCCACAAAATAACCTCATTGTTACAAGATGATAATACCTACATTGTAGGCTCCTGTGTCTAATAAGTACCACTATAGGGTAGCTGTTATAATTTTCTGAAGAACCCTGAAGCCTCTTTACAGTGGGTTTATAACACACAGGCTCTAATCTTGATGATGCTGATGATTTAGATACGGCACATGGGTCTGAGCAGCTCTGTCTAGTGTAGCTTCAGTATGTTTTTCTTAGGACAGAATTCTGCCCATCGGGTGTGCCAGTTACTCATTGCTGCATAACAGACCACCCCAAATTTAGTGGCATAAACAAACTATATCTTTATGTCCATGGATTTTTTGGGTGAGGAATTTGGGTCAGGCACACCAAGGATGGCTTATCTCTGCTCGGTGATGCCTGCGGCTTCCTCAGGGAAGACCGAGGGCTGGGATTATCTGGAGCTTCTTGAGTCACATCTGGAGTCTGGGCTAGATGACTTGAAGACTTGCTCCGCCGGAGCTGGCAACCAGGCACGCATGTGCGTTGGGCCTGGTCACAGCATGGTAGCTGAGAGCATTCCAAGAGGGACAGGAGGAAGCACGTGGCCTTTTATGACCTGACCCTAGAGATTGCCCAGTGTCGCCTTCTCCATGCTTTGCTGGTAGAAGCCATCAGAAGCCCACCCAGATTCAAGCAGTGGGAGTCATGAGACCCACTTCTCAGTGGGGAGGCGTGTTCAGCCAATTTTTATACAATTACTAGGATTATGGCTCCTACCTAGGGACATGTTAGGGCTTCTGACTTCTACATGTAGCAAAGCAAGCTGCACAACCTTTCTATTGCAGCTGCTTAACTCTGTGTTGTATAATGAAACAGTATGTATACAAATGGCTGTGTGTTAATAAAACTTTACTTACAAACACTGGCATTTGAATTTCTAATAATAAAGTATCACAAAATGCCTTTTCACAAAAAGACATTTAAAAATGTAAGCTCAGCTGGCGTGGCTCAGTGGTTGAGCATCGACCTAGGATCCAGGAGCTCTCAGTTGGATTCCCGGTCAGGGCACATGCCCGGGTTGCGGGCTCCATCCCCAGCAGGGGGCGCGCAGGGGGCAGCCGATCAGTGACTCTCTCATCATTGATATTTCTATCTCTCTCTCCCTCTCCCTCTCCCTTCCTCTCTCTGAAATCAATAAAGATATGTTTTTTAAATAAGTAAATAAACTAAAAAAAAGGAAACTCATTCTTGGCTCCTACAAACAGGCAGTGAGCCAGATTAGAACATTATAATTAGCTATATCTGGCTTTTTTTTTAATTAGAATTTTCCGAATATGTAGAAGAAATGTGGATATTTCTCAAGTGTTTGTGTGTGTTTCTATGTATGTGAGAGAAGGAAAGGGTTGCAAATTTTATTCTCCCTCTAGAAATGAATTTGTGAAGATATTGGAATTTCAAGTGTGCCTTATGTTTATCCTATCACAGAACATTTGTTATGGGGCAATAACAGACTGCACTCTTGATACTTGTAGGTGGAAAATTCATATTTAGTTTATTTCAGAACCTAAAGGGAAAAGACAGAACTTGGTCTTGGAGTTTCCAGAAATACATATTGTATATTTTTTAAGTAAGCACTCCATGTTTTTGAAGAGGTTATTGATCCTTAGACCAAAAGATAAAGCTGATGATTCCCAGGGATCAGATTCTTTTTTGGCCTTTATTAATTCATTAAACATTTTTTATCTGCCTATAATTCCAGGCAGTGTACTAGGTGAAGATAAAGAGATGAACAAAAATGTATATATAGTACCTGCCCTTACGGGGCGTACGGTCTGGGGGGCAGCCGGGCGTTCAGCAGACCGTAGCCTTGAAGTGTAGCCTGTGCTGAGGCGGGGGTGGCGAACGCGGGGCGCTTGGAGAACACGCATTAGGCTTTAAGCTGGAGCCTTTTACTCTGTCTCATCCTCAGCTGCCCATTGAATGTGAGAGGCTAGGAAATAGAGATTGTTACAGTAGTGCAAAGTGCTGTTAAAAACCATGTCGGGTCGCCCTGGCTGGTGTGGCTCAGCTGGGTGGGCGTCACCCTGTGCACAGGAGGCTGCGGGTTCCATCCCGGCGCAGGGCACGTGCCCGGGTGCAGGCTCGATCCCGGGTGCGGGGCATGCAGGAGGCAGCCGACCGATGTCACGCTCTCACATTGTTGTTTCTCTCTCTCTCTCCCTCCCCCTTTTTCTCTCTCAGAAAAATAAATAAGCTACTCTTTAAAAACAAAATAAAAATAAACACGTCCGCACACCTGCTGATGAGTGAATAGTCCTATATCTCTGAATTTTAAAGAACTGTAGGCATATGTGATACCTCTTTCACATTACTTTGGGAAAGGAAAAGCAAAGAACAAGGTAGAAATTTCTAACTATTGAAACTTGTTAGATTTTTTTTTCCTTATGGTACCTTGTTGTATGGGTAGAGAACTAACCTGGAAGAACAGTTTGGGACTTAGAAACTGAATTGCAAATTGGGATAATTGTCTTCGATTTTTCTCATTAGGTTTTTTCCAATGGGGCACTATTGACATTTTAGGTTGTATAATTCTTGGTTGTGGGGCTGTCTTGTGCATTGTAGGATGTTCAGAGCATCCTGGCCTCCACCTACTAGATGCCAGTAGCACCCCACCAAGTTGCAGCAACCAAAATCGTCTCTAAACTTTGCCACATGTCCCCTTAGGAGGATAAAATCACCAGTGGTTCAAATTAAAATGGGAAATTAAACGGTTTCTCTACATTTTATTGCAAAGACCCCAGCGAGGAGAAACATACATTTCTTTTTAATAAGAAGAAAGAACCTCTAGCTCAGGGAATAGAATTGCAGATGGACTTAATTTTGAGACACAAAGTCCCTCCTTTGAAAATGCTGAAATGAATTTGGACAACCCATTATCAAATCAAACATTACCCTCATCCATACTCTTGCTATGTCGAGAAATTTTTCTGAACTCTATAGTTTGTGCAATATTAGCAAAGCTGATACCCTCAGTTATTTAATTGAAACTTAAAGTTTCTAAACATCACTGGAACAAGATCAAATTTTAAAATGGGCTTGAAAATAACAAGTGAAGATATTTGGAGTTGGCTCCAGGTTCTTATCCTGTGAGCTGTTGGATTGTGTGAGATGCATGACCCAAAGGAGGTGATTAGTTCCCCACTAGCATGCTGATAATGAAAGCTCTACAAAACCAATTAGCTATAATTCTACCAGTCATTTCATTTGGGCAACATTCTGTTTAAGGGGAGGAAAAACAACACTGTTTTCCTTGGAGATCTGTAATTAAGCTGTGATATTTGATGGCAACAATCGAGGAAAAAGCAGTAAGCTTATCCATTTGCTTTTGTTACTCCCACATGGAAGTAAATTATGATGAAGTGTTCTGTTCATAGCAGTTAAGAAAGACATTTGTCCATTTTAAGGTATAACAGATCGAATGAGTGTATTTCTAATTATACATTTTGTTTTATTTGGATATCTGCATTGCACAACCCCAAGGATTTGCCCTTCACATGGAAGACTGTGAGGGTGCTCCTGAAGTTGTGTAGGACAATACATTCAATGTCATTTTTTTTCTTTATGTATTTTCCCCCTGACAAAAACGTATGTGAATCCAGAACCATGAGTAGTGGGGTTTTTCCTTCCAATCCCTATTATTGCTCTCTAACCCCCAAAGCCCACTGCTATATGACAGTCATATCCATAAACTGTTTTTCTTTATCTAGCAGGCATTTTATGGATTGATATTGTTCTGTTTGAATTTGAACACATGAAAAGTTCTTAATGCATTAGCCCCTATTTTAAGACAGAAGACATTACTTGATTGTTATTTGAGTATCCTTCTGTGACTTCTGGGCATTGTGCTGTTTTTAATCTCAATTTACACAGTAGACGAAGACTTGGATGTGTGTTGTTTTACCTGAAGTTTAATTCATAAAGTTTGTGACACAAATGAGCTTATTAGAACAAATACAGTGGGTTATTGTTTTGGGCTTTCGATTTATTTTGCTCACTGTCGTCCCACAGCTAGCCAAAAAAATCCGAGAGAAGTTCAACCGTTACTTGGACGTGGTCAACCGGAACAAGCAAGTGGTGGAAGCGTCCTATACGGCCCACCTGACCTCTCCCCTCACCGCGATTCAGGACTGCTGCACCATCCCGCCCTCCATGATGGAGTAAGACCTCAGCGTTTTCTGTTGGCCTTGAAACCAGGAATTGAATTGCTTTGCACTCATGTTCAAAATACCTGTTTGTTTGTTTGTTACAAAGTCTATAATATTCTTTCGTAAATAAGTCCTTTATTATTATATAGACAAGTAATTTTTAAAGAAGTGTGACTCAGTTTCTATATACAGGGAATTCCTGGGCCCTCCCTGCTCCCCTTTTCATCATCTGGAATTCAGGTTCCACAGTATGGAATATTGTTTGAGAGCAGAGTTGACTAAGTCTAGAAAATTGCAAACATTTTGTCATGTGTCAACTAGTAAGTGATGACTAAGGTCATCTCACTGATTCTGGTAATTTGATTTAAGGGAGTGCTTTTCGTCTTTGATTAAGAGCAGCAAAAGTTCCCACTTCCGACTTTAGTGTCAGTACCACCTTTAAAACTACCAAGGAAGTGCGACTTCAGGTACTATTGAAAAAGAATTGGATTCTGTGTGGTTGAGGATGTTTTTATTTATTGGGCTGGTGATATTTGTATCTGGAAGAGTGTAGGGTCACATGATGCTGGAAATTGTAGTGAAAGGAACACTTATCTTGAGGTACAAAGAATTTAATTTTCTATTTGACTTGGCTGTGATCTTAATAAAGTTACTTAATGTTTATTTATTTATTTAAATATATCTTTATTTAAATAAATAAAGGGAGAGGAAAGGAGAGGGAGAGAGAGAGATAGAAACATCAATGATGAGAGAGTCATTGATCGAGCCCGCAATCCGGGCATGTGCCCTGACCAGGAATCGAACCCTGATCGCCTGGATCCTAGGTCGAGGCTCAACTGCTGAGCCACACCCGGCTGGGCTTAATGTTTATTTTTATGTTCAGTTTTCTAGCAGTGTATAGCAATCTTTATTATACCAATTTCCTGGGCTATTTAGAATGAGTGAAAGGTGTTAACATGCTTTAAAAATTATGAGTGTGTTACCATAATTAATATGTATTACTCCTCTTTTTACACAATAAATGCTCTTGAGGTTGTGCAAAGGATGGATGTAACATTATTTTTTAGTGGTTAAATGATGCTTTGCTTCCACAAGGAAGTTTTTACTTATTATAGTTTGTTGGTGGGCTGCATTGGTAGCAGGGCATTTTATTTCTCCATCTATGTAATATTATCATGAGCCTTCTCTCAGGCTTACTGTGTTTGTGGCCCAAAGCAGCTCACATTAGTTGTTTACTTAATTAAATGGAAAGTGTATACAATTTGGAACGAGACTATCTGGACATGAATCCTACCTACAGCACATAATACTAAGACACTCTTGCATATTTGATGTCTTTAGTCACCCTGTCTTCATCTCTAAAATGGGGACAAGAATGAATACTTCACAGGGTGTCATAAGCATTCAGTACTGTAAATGTGAAAATACTTTGTAAACTGTAATGTTCTGAACAAATACTAATCATAATATTTACATACTCCCATAGCATAGTGAACATTTTATTTTTGGCTTATTAGATTTAATCAAAAGAAATGCACATTTTAATAATTGGCATCAGTAACTTAATGTTTTTGACAAATTTATCTCTTACCTAAAAATAAATTTGGGGTCCATTTGGGTTTTGAACTAAAGAAAAAATCATTTTCAGAACTTAGAGAAAAGATACGATAGTAAGGGAGAAGCCCTTAGAGCTGAAATTATGCTTAAACAGTGATTCTCAACCAGGGGTGATTTTTTTTCTTTTCTCCCCTCAAGGGACACTTAATAATGTCTGGAAACATGTTCAGTTGGAAGGTGGGGACAGTTGCTACTGGCATGTAGTGAGTAGAAGCCAGGGATGTGGCTCATACCCCATAATGCACAAAGTCGCCCCCAAAACAAAGAATTGTCGGGCGCAAAATGTTAGTGGTGCAGAGGGTGAAAAACCCTGGCTTAGAAGATTAGAGAGATCTTCATGATTTCGTAAGTGGACCTATTGCTGTAGATTAAACAAAAAGCTTAAATTGACTGGTGTCTGCTGGTGAATCTGCCCCATATTTGTCATTCCCATTCTCATTCTCATCACCGGGTGAATTTCTATTAATGTTTCAAAAAGTAACTCAACAATTTGCCTCTCTCCATAGTTTCCTATTACCTCTTTTCTCTCTACCTATTTCCCTTTGCCCCTGGAAGAATCCATTGTTCCTCTTCTGTTCCCATAGTAAGTTTCATACACCTCTGGTATGTGTAGAGCTTACCCATGTCATTCGTTGGTGGGGGTGAGTCTGCCTCCCCTGCTCTTCTGGGCAGGGATTACACTCATCCATTTTTACCCCAGCACCTGGCAATTGGGTTTATTTACTGTTTGTTGGAATCTAAATTGATTCAAATATGGGGATGAATAAGGGAATGTCAGCTCTCAAGAAACTTAAAAATTATTGGGTGGGGGGCAAATACTGAACATAATATGCAGTTAAGGCAAATTGTGGCACAGCAGAGAGGTGCTGTGGTTTCTTGAAACAGAGAAATATTCCAGGTGGGTGGCATCACAGAAGGCTCTATAGACTTTATTTAGAAATATGCATTGGATTTTATCTGGTCATTTGGAGGGATATCACAAGAAAATAATCAGACATGTTTATAAAGATAAACATGTAAAGAAAGTCATTGTAGTGCCATTTAGAAGAGAGAATATTGTAAAGACCCTACTTTTCTAACAATAGGGGATTAGTTAAGGAAATTGTATCATATAAAAGTGAGATGATAAAATGCAGCCATGCTGTAGAAGAGTATTTGCTTACTTGTGAAAATGGCCATACATACATGCACACATACATGCACTCTGTCATTATTTGTTGAAGGAATGATCTGAAGAATTCACATTCTCAGATATAGAAAAAAACAGATTAAGGCTTAATCTAAGACAAATTCATTTTCAAAGATATCACAAGATAGTTTTGAAAAAAAGTTTATTTATTTGTGTAATTTAATTAACAGCTCCCTTCGTGTTGTATTGGGTCAAGTGATGAGGGCGCATGAGATCCTGGGCTCTCCCACAAGAAGTGCCCAGACACACACACACACACACTCATAATCACAGTCATGGACTGCATCTAGCGTGCAGATTTATTTTGCCCCACAAGATGTTTTAAGGTTTTTTAAATTTGTAAGGTTTAAAATCTGTTGCTAACATTTAAACTTCGGGAGGTTACACATCCCTATTTCTGGCTTCTCTCAAGTCAGAAGATTTGGCAGTAGTGGGTCCGCATTCCCACTGAGCTGTAGCTTCTGTGAAGAGCAGCTCCCCTTTGAAGGCAGGGCATGCTTTCTCCCGTTCACCACAGTTCCCCCAAGTCCATATTGCAGTGTACCCAACCCATTCCCCACACGATCATCACCTGCTCAGCCCCCATTACTGCATGTGAGTTTGCAACTCGTGATCTGAAATGACTATATAGTGTTAATAAATTTGACAAGAAAATGTCTTGTCCATGTGCATTTCCTTCTGTTGCAACTTGAGCATGCATTCTCACGCTCTCAAATTTAAAGAATATAACTCCTTTATGTATAACACTAAGAATATCTACCCCAGAAACCTGGCTTGCCACAGGCATGGGGCTCTGCTGTGCACATTTGAAGCTGTTGTTTAGTCAGCAGGCCCTGCCAACCCTTGGCTTTTACATAAACCAATCAATAATTTCATCTGCCATATCTCTTAGTCTGTTTCTTTCCCCCCCTTTCCCAATCTCCTCTATAGATGTTTTTGCCTGTGGCATTCTTATTTTTCACTTTTGATGTCATTATTTAAGAAGAAGGAAACAATGGAAAGAATAAACTAAGGAGGCATTACTGGGAAGATGAACTCAGATTTTGTGTGTGTCTCCAAGTGGGTTCAGTATTAACCTCATTCAGTTAATGCTTGTTAATTAGTTAATCATGGTATGAATTGGCATTAAGGCATCCAGACTAGGTTTGAGATGACAAAGCTATACTCTGATGGAGCTAGAGTAAGTAAGCAACTTGTTTCCAAGGCTCTCAGAAGCCAACCACCTGGACGTAGCTCTCTAGACACTTCTCATATTCACCAGGGGAGAATTTAAATGCTTCCCTGATTCCAGAAAATGAAGAAACTTCAGAACCATTGTGAAATTGGATTCCTGCCATTTTACAAGTTGCTTTTTCAGTTGGGGCATCCACTGAAATTGATATAGTCATTGGGGAAAGCAGGTAGGACTCATCTCATTTTCTGAGAAGCCAAATTTAATGCATCCCCTGCTGGTGCCCATTAGAACTATATGATTCAGGAGTCAGGTCTTATCAGTCAATCTGGTGGGGGTATTGTGCTATAGGCAAAGCAACTAGCATGGGTTCTGATGAAGAACACAGGCTCCTGGTTACAATTCCCATGAATAGTCACTGTTACAACCCTCTATATTACTCAGGGTTGTTCAAAGAAACAGAACCAATAGGGTGAGAGAAAGACTTTTTTATTTTTTTAAATATATCTTTATTGATTTCAGAGAGAGGAAGGGAGAAGGAGAGACAGAGATGGGAACATCAATGATGAGAGAGGTGTCATTGATCGGCTGCCTCCTGCACACCCGTCAGGGGATCGAGCCCACAACCTGGGCATGTGCCCTGACCAGGAATCAAATCGCGATCACCTGACGCTTAACCACTGAGCCAGGCCCAGATTTATTTTAAGGAATTTGCTCATGTGATTGTGGAGATGTTAAGTCCAAAATCTGCAGGGTAGCGCGGCAGGCTGAAAACTCAAGAAAGACTTGCAATTTCAATCTGATGGCAGAATTCCTTGCTTGGGGGAGGTCAGTCTTAGTCCTTTTAGGTCTAAGGACTAATTGGATGAGGCCCACCCACAAGTCCACTGATTTAAATGTTGATCTCATTCCCAAAATCCTTCACAGAAACATCCCAGAATAGTGTTTGACCACATATCTGGGTACCATGGCCCAACCAAATTGACACATAAAGTTAACCATCACAACCCCTTCTCAAAGAAAGGACAGAAAACT